CCGCAGGGAAGACATCCAATTCTGACGGTTTTTTGCTCTAATTACTGCAATGATCTCGGACACGGAGAAGGAAGGAATTGCTCCGGAGGACTTTGTAGGAGATGTAAAAACATTTCTCTTCCATCGATCTATTATATGTGACAATGAAAAGGATACAATGTGAGCGGAATGGGAATAATACAATGAGAAAAAAAAAAAAAAACCCAAAAAAGAGAATTAGAAAGAAGGCCATAAGGGCCGGGCGGATCCTTAACCCTTTCATGGTCAAAACAAACCTTCACTTCAGCTTCAAAGAAGCTCACATTATTTTTTATTTTTTTGAACAATCATTTTTATTGAGGTTTTTTAAAAAAAATTTAACTCAATAAAATAAATGAACGATAAATAATAATAATGGTAAATAGGGGGGGGGGGGATGAAACGATAAATGCTTTGATAATAAGCTACGGTTTTAATGAGTTTGTTTGTATAACTTGTTTATCTGAAAAATTAATAAATATTTAAATTAAAATAATAATAATAATTAATCCGTAACCTTAACCCCCTAACTCTTAAAAAATTTAAATAAAATATTAGTAATAATAATAATAATAATAATAAAAAAAATGTTATGTGTATTGTATTGTTACTGCTTGCCATACGTTTGCGTGTTCTTATGTCCCTTGCTTTGTTCTACTTATGTACAATTTCAATAAACGCAACTGTTAAAAAAAAAAAAAAAAAATAATAAAAAATAAACACCCTAACACAAAGTAAATAATAATTATTTTATTTATTTCAGGTACTTATATAGCGCCGTCAATTTACACAGCATTTTACATATATATTGTACATTCACATCAGTCCCCGCCCCCGAGGAGCGTAAATCTAAGGTCCCTAACTCACATTCATACATACACATACTAGGGCCAATTTAGACAGGAGCCAATTAACCTCCCAGCATGTCTTTGGAGTGTGGGAGGAAACAAGAGTACCTGGAGGAAACCCACGCAGGCACAGGGATTTATATTATTATTATTATTATTATTATTTTATTATTATTATTATTCATATTTTTAATATATTTTTTTTTTAGTGGTAGGGTTAATTATTATTTATTTGATTTAATTTAGTATTATTGTAATGTATTTTTGTATTTATTTTACATTTATTTATTCACATAGTATTTTTTTTTTTTTCATTTGAGCAGAAAAACACAAAAACGCACGAATACGCAAAAAAAAAAAACGCAAACCGCATGTTTCCATTCATTTCTATGGAAATAAAGACGCTGAAAAAATGCACAGATCTGCCCGATTCGGGCAACAAAAAAAACTCCAGGACTTGTCTGAGCTTCAGGCGATGTGAACCATCTCCATGGAGAATAATTGATTTTTTTTTTTTTTTTTTCTCCTCAAGTTTGAAGTTACAAATGGCTGAGATATGAACGGGGCCTTGTGGTAGGACCGTGTCACTTCCTCCGTGGCTGATTCCTGGTGGCTCTGCTCATGTGCAGAAGACGCCTGTAGAGATCCGTGTATTCCGGTCACTGGAAGTCTTTGTAACATATTTTATTTCTGCCCCAATAACAAGTGGAGAGCGCGGCTCTGCTGGATAATCGCATCATACACTCAGTGGTCAGGAAAAGGAGAGCGCCGTCCCGGGCTGATCCGCCGCAGCTGGTGGGAGCTGTCTGTACCAGTGCTAGAGACGCTACAAGAGTTCTGCGGCATCACATCCGAGCCTTCCAAACCCGCGCCATTTCCACATATCATCATTGCAACATTGTCTTTCTTGTTGGTGGTTGGAAATAATTGTATCGTTTTTAATCTCTAGTTACATTGTATGAGTTTAGTGCTCGTATGCTATAGTGCGGATTTTTGTGTCATTCTGTGTATAAGGCCCCACCCACATATCAGGTACCAGGAACATGCGTGTCCACTCTGTGTAAGGCCCCACCCACATATCAGGTACCAGGAACACGCGTGTCCACTCTGTGTAAGGCCCCGCCCCCACATATCAGGTGCCAGGAACGCGCACGCCCACTCTGTGTATAGGCCCTGCCCACATATCAGGTACCAGAAACACGCGTGTCCACTCTGTGTAAGGCCCCGCCCACATATCAGGTGCCAGGAACGCGCACACCTGCTCTGTGTATAAGGCCCCATTCACATACAGTGAAGGAAATGTGTATTTGAAATGCGTATTTGCTCCCCCCGCCCCTCACACAGCTGATCGGCAATGGAATGTTCGCCCCTCACACAGAAATGATGACAATGGAATGTCTAACAACGATCGGTCTAACAATGGAATGTTCGCCCCTCACACAGAAATGATCGGTCTAACAATGGAATGTTCGCCCCTCACACAGAAATGATCGGTCGCCCCTAACAATGGTCTAACAATGGAATGTTCGGTGTAACACTGAGAGACAGAATACAACAACAAATTCAGCAGAAATGCATCTAACAAATGATGACTGATCTGCATGTTCATGAGGGAAAGAAGGATTTGATCCCCTATCATTCAGCAGGATTTCTGGCTTCCAGGTGTCTCTCATACAGGTAACAAGCTGAGATTAGAAGCAGTCTCTTAAAGGGAGTGCTGCTAATCTCATTGTGTTACCTGTATAAAAGACACCTGTCCACAGGAGCCATCAAACCATCAGATTCCAAACTCTCCACCATGGCAAAGACCAAAGAGCTGTCCAAGGAGGTCAGGGACAAGATGGTAGACCTACACAAGGCTGGACTGGGCTACCAAACTATGGCCAAGCAGCTTGGTGAGAAGGTGACAACAGTTGGTGCAATCATTCACAAATGGAAGAAACACAAAACAAGTGTCAGTCTCCCTAGGTCTGGTGCACCATGCAAGATCTCACCTCGTGGAGTGTCAATGATCATGAGAACAGTGAGGAATCATCCCAGAACTACGCGTGAGGATCTTGTCAATGATCTCCAGGCAGCTGGGACCACAGTCACCAAGAAAACAATTGGTAACACACTACGCCGACAAGGACTGAAATCCTGCAGTGCCCGCAAGGTCCCTCTGCTCAAGAAAGCACATGTCCAGGCCCGTCTGAAGTCTGCCACTGAACATCTGAATGATGCAGAGAGGAGGACTGGGAAAGTGTTGTGGTCAGATGAGACCAAAATCCAGCTCTTTGGCATCAACTCAACTCGCCGTGTTTGGAGGAGGAGGAATGCTGCCTATGACCCCAAGAACACCATCCCAACTGTGAAACATGGTGGTGGAAACATTCTGCTTTGGGGGTGTTTTTCTGCTAAGGGGACAGGACAACTGCACCGCATCAAAGGGACAATGGACGGGGCAATGTACCGTCAAATCTTGGGCGAGAACCTTCTTCCCTCAGCCAGGGCATTGAAAATGGGTGGTGGATGGGTGTTCCAGCATGACAATGACCCAAAACACACGGCCAAGGCAACAAAGGAGCGGCTCAAGAAGAAGCACATTAAGGTCCTGGAGTGGCCTAGCCGGTCTCCAGACCTTAATCCGAATACTTATTTCCCTCATGAACATCCAGCCACCTCCTGTACAATGCCTACAGCTCTCAAACATCAACTGTATTATGCCCGCAGTCCCTAGCCATCTCCTGTCCCATGCTTGCAGTCCTTAACAATCCTCCTGTACCCCTGTAACCCTGTACATGACTGCAGTCTCTAACCATCTCTTAAACCATTCCTGCAGTCCACGAACATCTCCTTTACCATTCCTGCAGTCCCCAACCATCTCCTGTACCATGCCTGCGATTTACAACCATCTCAATTTTCATGCCTACAGTTCCCAAACATCTCCTCTACTATGCCCGCAGTCCTTAACATTCTCCTGTACTATGCCTGCAATCCCCAACCATCTCCTGTACCATGCCTGCAGTCTCCAACCATCTCCTGTACCATCTCCTGCAGTCTACCCTGTACCATGCCTGCAGTCTCCAACCATCTCCTGTACCATGTCTCTGCAATACCCCTGTAGCCCCCAACCATCTCCTGTACCATGCCTGTAGCCCCCAACCATCTCCTGTACCATGCCTGCAGTCTCCTGCAGTCCCCAACCATCCCTCTTGCCCCCAACCATCTCCTGTACCATGCCTGCAGCCCCCAACCATCTCCTGTACCATGCCTGCAGCCCCAACCATCTCTGTACCTGTGCAGCCCCCAACCATCTCCTGTACCCAGCCCCAACCATCCTGCAGCCCCCAACCATCTCCTGTACCATTCCTGCAGTCCCCAACCATCTCCTGTACCATACCATGCCTGCAGTCCCCAACCATCTCCTGTACCATGCCTGCAGTCCCCAACCATCTCCTGTACCATGCCTGCAGTCCCCAACCATCTCCTGTACCATGCCTGCAGCCCCCAACCATCTCCTGTACCATGCCTGCAGCCCCCAACCATCTCCTTTACCATACCTGCAGTCCCCAACCATCTCCTGTACCATCCTGCAGTCCCCAACCATCTCCTGTACCATACCATACCTGCGGTCCCCAACCATCTCCTGTACCATACCTGTAGCCCCCAACCATCTCTACCTGCCTGTACCATCTCCTGTACCCCTGTAGCCCCCAACCATCTCCTGTACCATGCCTGCAGTCCCAACCATCTCCTGTACCATGCCTGTAGCCCCCAACCATCTCCTGTATCATGCCTGCAGCCCCCAACCATCTCCTGTACCATGCCTGTAGTCTCCATCCATCTCCTGTACCATGCCTGTAGTCTCCATCCATCTTCCTGTACCATGCCTGTAGCCCCCAACCATCTCCTGTACCATGCCTGCAGCCCCCAACCATCTCCTGTACCATGCCTGTAGCCCCCAACCATTCTGTACCATGCCTGTAGCCCCCAACCATCTCCTGTACCATGCCTGCCCAACCCCCCAACCATCTTCTGTACCATGCCTGCAGTCTTTTCAGCAGTATGTGTGAACAATGATGTGGAATAATAAAATATCACAGTATCGGTTGTTCATGTCAGTTTTGTATTTGTTCTTTATGTTTTCACCAGATTGAGAAGCAACTGTTTGAGGAGACAGTGAAGACTCTGAATATGTACTACATAGAAGCGGAGAAGATCGGAGGCAGCTCTTATCTAGAGGGATGCCTGGCTTGTGCTACAGCGTATTTCATCTTCCTGTGCATGGAGACACACTATGAGAAGGTAAACTGGATTATGTCTTCATTGTTGAAGAGATCCGGTCATTGCACTTATGTAGGACGAGTCCTCCGGAAGGACAACCCTCCACCCGCCGTTCTATTCCTCTCTGCTTCAATCCCCTTGTTAGCTCTGTGTTGGGCCTGTGATGGTATTAATATCCTCTTTCCCTCCCTCATCTACACAACATCCTGGGACCAGACAGTGGGGGGGGGGGGGGGGGGGGGGGGGGGGGGTTGGTGTATTAGCAAGGTGAAGTTTTGGGAAGAGTTAGCACCCCTGTCTAGCTTTAATTGCTTAGGTAAGCCACAAAGATTGCCAAATGATTGTCTCGGAGTGAAATGTCTTCTACTGATATTACAGATGACAATACAAAAAAATGAAAGACAACCAACATGTTTCAGGGGCTCAAAAAATCCCCCTTCATCAGGGCTTAAACAATGTAGCAACCGTATCTATAGGACTCCAAATAAAAGCTCCTGGATAGAAGGTTGGGGGCTGACCAGATAAGTCCACCCAATGCTGCTTCCTGTGATGAGGTGACAACGATGCTGCACTGCTCCCAAATTCAGAGCAGTGTTGTCACCCTGTGCAGGCTGTGCATGCTTGTACTACACTGGGAGGAGATGTTGCAGGGTTCCTGGCTATTGGCATTGTCATTGCTAAATGACACGCCTGTAACTTGTCACCCAGCTTGGGCACACCTATGCTGCCCAACTGCAGGCTTGGTACATGAGATGGTTGGGGATTGCAGACGTGGTACAGGAGATGGTTGGGGACTGCAGGAATGGTACAGGAGATGGTTGGGGGCTGCAGGCATGGTACAGGAGATGGTTGGGGACTTCAGGCATGGTACAGGAGATGGTTGGGGACTGCAGGTATGGTACAGGAGATGGTTGGGGACTGCAGGCATGGTACAGGATGGTTGGGGACTTCAGGCATGGTACAGGAGATGGTTGGGGACTGCAGGAATGGTACAGGAGATGGTTGGGGGCTGCAGGCATGGTACAGGAGATGGTTGGGGACTGCAGGCATGGTACAGGAGATGGTTGGGGACTGCAGGCATGGTACAGGAGATGGTTGGGGACTGCAGGCATGGTACAGGAGATGGTTGGGGACTTCAGGCATGGTACAGGAGATGGTTGGGGACTGCAGGAATGGTACAGGAGATGGTTGGGGACTGCAGGCATGGTACAGGAGATGGTTGGGGACTTCAGGCATGGTACAGGAGATGGTTGGGGACTGCAGGCATGGTACAGGAGATGGTAGGGGACTGCAGGCATGGTATAAGAGATGGTTGGGGACTCCAGGCATGGTACGGGAGATGGTTGGGGACTGCAGGCATGGTACGGGAGATGGTTGGGGACTGCAGGCATGGTACGGGAGATGGTTGGTTGGGGACTGCAGGCATGGTACAGGAGATGGTTGGGGACTGCAGGCATGGTACGGGAGATGGTTGGGGACTGCAGGCATGGTACAGGAGATGGTTGGGGACTCCAGGCAGGCATGGTACAGGAGATGGTTGGGGACTGCAGGCATGGTACAGGAGATGGTTGGGGACTGCAGGCATGGTACAGGAGATGGTTGGGGGACTGCAGGCATGGTACAGGAGATGGTTGGGGACTGCAGGCATGGTACAGGAGATGGTTGGGGTTGGTACAGGGGGGCTGCAGGCATGGTACAGGAGATGGTTGGGGGCTGCAGGCATGGTACAGGAGATGGTTGGGGACTGCAGGCATGGTACAGGAGATGGTTGGGGACTGCAGGCATGGTACGGGAGATGGTTGGGGACAGGCATGGTACATGGTACAGGCATGGAGATGGTTGGGGACTGCAGGCATGGTACAGGAGATGGTTGGGGACTGCAAGCATGGTACAGGAGATGGTTGGGGACTGCAAGCATGGTACAGGAGATGGTTGGGGACTGCAGGTATGGTACAGGAGATGGTTTGGGACTGCAGGCATGGTACAGGAGATGGTTGGGGACTGCAGGATGGTTGGGGAGAGATGGTTGGGGACTGTAGACATGGTACAGGAGATGGTGGGAACTGCGGGCATGGTACAGGAGATGGTTGGGGACTGCAGTCATGGTACAGGAGATGGTTGGTTGGGAACTGCAGAAATGGTAAAGGGGATGGTTGGGGACTGCAGGTCATGGTACAGGAGATGGTTGAGACTGCAGAAAAAGGTACTGAGGATGGTTGGGGACTGCAGGCATAGTACAGGAGATGGTTGGAATTGCAGAAATAGTAAAGGGGTTACTGAAATCCTCCCACCATGAGCTGCAGTGTCTGTGAGGGGGAGCGTGTGAAACACGAAGGAGGATTTAGCTCAGTCATAAGGCTTGTACATCACATAGGAAGTGGATTTCAGACTTGTTTTGCTTGGTATACAGAAGCCTTTAGATGTCTCTTAGTTGTCCATCTTTAAAGGGTAAGTACACCTCTAGTAAACGTATCGCTAAATTCTGCCGTCCTTTTTATTATAATAAGAATGTAAAGTCGGATGAACAATGTCCTGATGAATCAATGATGGTCTCATGTGTGGTCCATATTGATGCCCGAGAGCAGGAACAGTCCTTAGCCTGGGGTGGGACTTTCCACTTTGCCCCCGTGTGTCCCACAGGGAGTATTGGTGGGAATTCTGCTTACATCATGTTACCAAAGGGCAAGAAAGGATTTGAATTTCGCAGAGCCGCCGAGTCTCAGCGCCACGCTACAGCTTTGAACTCGGTCCATCATGGACAAAGCTAAACTGTGGAGAGCGGGATGGAGTCGCACGTCAGGGCCGGCATTTCACATTATTATCCGGCTATTTCTTGGTGAGCAGATTTAATCCTTCCTTCAAACGCTTGGGAAAGGTTGTCTCAACACGCCGGCACTCGGCAAGCTCAGCTAATTGCACGGTCTCTTTATATCACACCGTCCATCTGGGCATCGGGCCAAAGCAAACTCAACCTTTGTAAGCTGGAAATTAATTTCCCAGCAGATTCTGTTCCCACTTCAACCCGAGCTGATACTGAGAGAGGATACATGATGTAGTAGGGAGGGATCCGGAGCTTTTCTATAGATACGTACCGTACCTCCAGCCGATGGAACCTTCTAGTAAAATACATTGGCTGGTGGAGCCTTTTATTAGAGTCACATGAATCGAGACGGTCAGCTGTACCCAATCACATCACTCCTTTTATTCTTGCCTTCAGTGATAACCTGCTAATTCCAAGCTTCCTCGAGTCCCCATCTACAGTGCAGGAAATACGTATTTGCTCCCCGGCTGATGTTGAATGTTCGCCCCTCACACAGAAATGATCGGTCTAACAATGGAATGTTCGCCCCTCACACAGAAATGATCGGTCTAACAATGGAATGTTCGGTGTAACACTGAGAGACAGAATACAACAACAAATTCAGCAGAAATGCGTCTAACAAATGATGACTGATCTGCATGTTCATGAGGGAAAGAAGGATTGGATCCTCTTCACAAAACATGACTTAGTACTTGGTGGCCAATCCCTTGTTGGCAATCACAGAGGTCAGACGTTTCCTGGAGTTGGCCCCCAGGTTCGCACACATCTCAGGAGGGATTTTGGCCCACTCCTCTTGGCAGATCCTCTCCAAGTCATTAAGGTTTGGTGGCTGACGTTCGGCAACTCGAACTTTCAGCTCCCTCCACAGATTTTCAATCGGATGAAGGTCTGGAGACTGGCTAGGCCACTCCAGGACCTTAATGTGCTTCTTCTTGAGCCGCTCCTTTGTTGCCTTGGCCGTGTGTTTTGGGTCATCGTCATGCTGGAACACCCATCCACCACCCATTTTCAATGCCCTGGCCGAGGGAAGAAGGTTCTCACCCAAATTTGATGGTACATTGCCCCGTCCATCGTCCCTTTGATGCGGTGCAGTTGTCCTGTCCCCTTAGCAGAAAAACACCCCCAAAGCAGAATGTTTCCACCACCATGTTTCACAGTTGGGATGGTGTTCTTGGAGTCATAGGCAGCATTCCTCCTCCTCCAAACACGGCGAGTTGAGTTGATGCCAAAGAGCTGGATTTTGGTCTCATCTGACCACAACACTTCCCACCAGTCCTCCTCGGCATCATTCAGATGTTCAGTGGCAGACTTCAGACGGGCCTGGACATGTGCTTTCTTGAGCAGAGGGACCTTGCGGCACTGCAGGATTTCAATCCTTGTCGGCATAGGCAACACAAAAAATGCCCCCCCCCCCCCCCCCCCAAGAGAGAGACTTGCCATCACAGCTCTCCGAAATGAAACCATTTTTAGATGTCTTCATTCCCACCGACAGCCCTCTGCTCCATCAGTGCTGCCTATATCACTCACCCGACTCCCTTCCCGGAGTCTCAACGCCACTCCCTCGGCTCCCCTCACTCCGCTCTGCTCTTCCACCTGCTGCCCAGCCCTGGTGTCCCTTGCAGCCTCCTCAGACACACCGCCACCCGCTCCTGGTCACCGCACAGGAACCGGTGGCTGAAGGCTCAGGGCGTGCAGTACAACCAGTGTCCCTTCTTCCAGGGGGCCGCGCCACCCCCCTGAAAGATGCTGCCCAAGGCAAACGCCTTGTTTGCCTCGCAGTAAATTCGCCCCTGGGTAAAGATTGAAGGCTTTTGGCACCCAGAAGTGTCAGATGCCAAAAGATTCTGCTGGAGGCTGTAGCTCTTCAGAAGAGCTGGTTATTATTGACCTCTCCCAACTTAAATGGGTGGTCATATGACCGCTGTGATTGGCTGTTCCAGTGGTCACATGGTCAGGGGCTGGTCCTGTCAGCTACTGATTGTTAGTGGGGAACGAGAGTTGTCCTTGACAGCTTGGGGGTGGGAACACCCAGTGATGCATATGTGCAGGGCATGGGCATTAAAGCCCACCTATTTGCCACCTCATTACATGCGATATGTGGGCAGTAACAGGTTAAAGGCTAAGTACACCTTTAAGAAAAAAAAAAATAAAAGCAAAATGTGCAAATATATATATATAATTTTTTTTTCCACTGGATCCT